GAGAGAGAGAGAGAGAGAGAGATCGAGAGAGATCGAGAGAGAGCTGGGGATGGGGGCGGAGGGGGGGAGAGAGAGGGAGGGAAAAAGTGACAGACTGACTGACAAACGGATAGTCACGAGGATAGACAGACAAACTGAAAAAGAAATAATATTGTGAGCGGACGACAGTTTAATGCTCAGGAAAATTCCGTCAAGACAGAGAGAGAGAGAGAGAGAGGGGGGGGGAGGGGAGAGAATAGAGACAGGGAGGTACAAAATGCAGAAAAAGAGAGACAGAGAGACACAAACAGAAGGAGAACGAGGGAAAGGGTAGACTGATTTATTTGCACCTTGATTTAACTGCAGGGGCGTGCTTTGAAAGAGTATTAAAAAGCGAGAAGACTTCCTGAATTTACTGCAATAGACAGTCTAAATGCGTAAGAGTAAAACCATTCCAACGCACCCTAGATGAAAGGACAGATAGATATTATTATTATTATTATATTAAATACAGACACATGGATAACAGGACGCTTTGGAATACGGATAAACGATAGATTTACAAAAAAAATATGGCTATATCATAATTACACAAACGAACAATCATTTTGAGAAAACAGACAGGATGGCAAATAGTAAATAGAATAACACACAAAGATATACCGAGATTCAGGTAAATAGATAAACCAGTTGGCACACAGGTAAGCCTACCATCCCTTCAACTCTTCTCACCTTGATGTGGCTGATGAGCGCAAAAGGCAAGGACACGGCAACTGAAATAACCCAGACAGCAGGGATGAGCACATTGGTAGATGCCACACGCGCTCCACGCGTCTCCTTCAGTGGGTGGCAGATGGCGTAGTAGCGCTCGAAGCCAATGGCTACCAAGGTGAGTACCGAGCAGTGGTGGGAGGCATTCTCTAGGAATGGCACGATCTTGCCTGTGGACAAAAAAGAAACTCTTTTATTAGGGGGTTTCTTTTTATAGCGGTAAGAGTAAACACATGAGCTTATGCTACGGGGTGTCCATTGAGGGATCTGGTAGGGTCGGAGCGGTTTGCTTGCCAGATTGTGACCGTACATTGGAATGAACCGAACGGTCAAAGGAGTTGTGAAATCGTGTGGGCTTCCCATCTTTTTTTTCTTAATGTCTGGTGTTTTACGCCCCCATCGACACATGTTAGATCATTTATGAGGCGATCTTCAACCCTGCCCGTCAAGGTCAAATCTGGCTGAGAACAGAAAGATCAAGATACTCAACAAAAACTCCTGCTATGTTATTATGGGCTTGAACTCAGGTCTTCCGCGAGCGACGGTGAATCGCTTAACCATTTCACCACAGACACTCATCGCCTCCTCTCAAAGGGGTGCAAAGTTAGGAGTACAAGCATGAATGGAACTTACGATTCCAGAATAGAGCAATAAAAAAAACACAATCCAAAACAAACACAAATATTGTACTTTCACGACAGATCGTAACCCAAAGGTAAAGCAATTAACATATATATATATATATATATATACTAATATTTAGTAAGAGTAAGAGTTGTAAGCTAAAACTATTAATTGTTGCCACAATGAACTAAAACTTTTTCTTTGAAATTGTACCATGTTCAACTACCGCATTTTCACTGTGTCAGTATGCATCTGTTCAGCGCTCCAGCAGTTAAGTAGAATTTCGGCTGATTCATGATGTCAGACGAGATGTATTTTTTAAAATAATGTTAAGTGTTAGAATTATTTTTGGTTGTTGTTGTTGTTGTTGTTGTTGTTTTTTACAAGCGGTGATGTTTGTATTGTAAAGTGACCTATGGAGCTACAGATTGCCACTAGTGGGGTTATCGTATTTCCCCCAATGTTTCCGTTGCCGTAGCAACTGTCTTTGTTGAGAGTTATTATCGCCCCAGGATTATTCTTGGCTCCTGGATTGAAAAAGACGTACTCCACTAAATTTGTCTGGGTTTAGGACGTGTGTTTTTAAAATCAAATTGCCTGTCAATAAATTGACAAAAATACCCCACAGACTGATTCTTTTGTTCATTGCGAAATTAAATTTCAGTCCCATTTGTGATTGCTTTTGAGACATAACTTTGAAGACGAAACATTTCCACCACATCGTAATTCACTTTGATAACCTGAATTAAGCTTGAACGAAAAATCAAGAATTATGCAATTTTGTATCATGTTGCTCTTCTGGTCTCCGTATTCGTACGGAAGGGTCAAATCCACAAATAAAGAGAGCCTAAGGTTTGACAGACCAATTGTTAAAAAACAGATTCAAATATGTAATATTGAGAGCATTTTTGAAGTTCAAAGATAAAATTTAATCTTTATAAGACACCTTCTCGTGAAACTCGAGAATCCTTTCGACTCCTTACGCACAACGTTTGATTTAGATGAAGGAACAGCGTACTGAGCTGGGGTGAGATTGGCTAGACACCCCTTCCCCCTCTTGCACGCAGCCACAGGCACATGAACATTCACCAGTTCACACACACACACATACACAAGCACACACACACATACACACACACACACACACACACACACACACACACAGGCACACACACACACAAACACACACACAAACACACACACACACACACAAACACAAACACACATACATTTGACAAAATTAATGGTGGTTCAGGATCATTTAAAGGTTGCACGTTTTATTGAGGAGCCGATCATTCTTTTCATTGAAAATAGTTACATAATATTATTAATTACAGCCTCTTTGTCTGTCTATTCATTTGTCTGTCTGTCTATCTGTCTGTCCGTCCCTCTGTCTGTATGTCTGTCTGTCTGTCTGTCTGCCTATCTTTCTCAGCACCTCTATCTCTATTTCAGTCTGTCTCAGTCTCTCTCTGTCTGTCTCTCCCTCTCTCTACGTCTCTCTCTCTCTCTCTCTCTCTCTCTCTCTCTTTCTGTCTCTGTCCCTCTGAGTCTAACACCAATTTCCTTTGTAACTTAAAACGTCAGTCTTCAAAAAGTTTCCTTTGGAGTATATGTCTTCGTACCCCCTCTTTCCACTCCCTCCCCCGAAAACACAACTCTTCAACCCTCCCCCCGCCCACTCGCCCCTCACCCCCCCAAAATCAGCGTTATCATCATACTGAAAATATTGAAACTAGACAAGCGTCTCACTTCCGAAAACATATTAATCTTGACACATGAACCATACTATGTTAGTAACACATGGTTGAGTTCTTTTATTGAGAAGCCCGCTAATATTAATGTGTGCAAATATGTTTCAATTAATCTGCCCGCTGGCTATTATGGAGACAAAAATGTTATATATATATATATATTTTTAAGAGTGTTGTATGTTCTTTGCGATTGGATGTAACGAACCGAACCAGCACGCCACTTAATGAACATGAGGGGAATCAGGCAGTTTGTCATATAGGGATATTCGGACAAAATCACTTTGTCTACTATGTGAGAGGGAGCTGCTCCTAGGAATTATGTATTGATACATATTTGTTTACTTTGAACAACATATTGTGTATGCTCACAAAAGCTGATTCATACACACATATATACACACACACGCACACACACAAACACACACACACATACACACACACACAGAATCCCTCACATACACACACTCAGACATGTATTCACCTAACTAAGCACTATAAGAGTTAACGGGAGAGAGAGGGTTTCTTTTGAGCATTATATGTTAAAATTTACAAATAGCTATTTCAAAGGTAAACGTATCATTCTTTGTAGGTGGTGAGTAATGTAAGGTGTTGAAATCTCTAGAGTGTTGGACTATATAACTCAATCTTTTTTGTTTGTTTCGTTTTCCTAATATCTGTTTTTTTCTTCACGTAAAGCCATCAAACATTTTGAGGGTTTTTTTTAACCATAATATAATGTCGATCCACTCTGGTGCCGAAGAAATTATTCCCAAAAGATACTTTACATATAATCTACTCAGACGTGTTGACACCAACTAGAATCTAGTGGTCGGATTTTGGCTTGATGTGGTCACTAATGTTAGAAGCAACTCTATTTGGCTTGACCTTTTCGGGAAATCGAGAAAGTCCTGTAGGCTGAAATCGTGTGGCGCTGAAAGGACGAGACGTCGCGATGGTAATATCAAGGGGATACAATTTTCACCTTTTTCAGCTCTTTTAGATTCAGTTCCACCCGAACCGTTCCTCCTCCACTTTTCTCAACCACACATTCCCCCGGTACCATTAAATACAGCCTCTCAGCTTACAATTTTTTAGGTTTTGTCTTGCTACCCTTACTAAGTTATAAATATATCCCTTCCTTCCCTTCCCTTCCCTTCCCTATCCCCTCTCTACCTTCTCCTTCTCTCTCTTTCTTTCTTTTTTCCCCTTTCTTTCTTACTTCCTTTTATTTTTTTCCCTCCCTAGACTGTTGCCCAAGCCGAAAAGACAGTGCAGTTTGTCGAGATTCCCGGCAAGCAAGTTTTGTTAGCGAGGTGAAGTAGAACACCCTCACCCCATACTTTAAAGGAAACACAATAAAATAAAATACAATATATTTCTTAAAACATAACAAATATAAAAGAACAGCTGCCGTATTGACAGCTTCTCCCAATTGTAGGGAATTCCTGCATTCTCGAAGATCCCAACCAAAAACGAAAAACCAAATAAATAACTGTGAGTTGTGTATAGCATATCCACATCTAATTTTCTAGATAGTTTCTTTTTACGGGAATTTTGGAATAGTTTTTTTCTTTGTCTCGTGGACAACACTTTGTTAAATAAAACATTTCCTTTAAAAAATTGCCACTGTGTGTTATTTTTTCTTAAAACACTTCTTTTCACTTCTTTTGGGAAACATAGAACGTTTATTTGATTGCTAAGTCCAGAACAGGGAACAGTGGGTCTAACCTAGAGACCAAAAATAACAAAAAACAAAAATCAGTCTGGACTGTGAAAAACGACTACTAGATCTAGAAGTAACCGGATGTTGTCCCAAAATAAGTGCCAATTCCGGAAACATCTCAATGATGGCTTTTAAATCACGAAAGATCCTTTTTTCCCTTATTGTGCTATTTTTGTAACGTCAGATCTTTGGGAAGAAAATGGCTCGGCAAATTGAAAATTGGAAAATGATTGCCTTTCACCAGGCTCAAACTCCAACACAGATTTAGGAAAAAACGTGTCTATAAAAGATTTTAGAGGGAAACTTTCAGGTATGATCCATAGTTTATTACTTACCCAGATTTACGTAGGCGTCTGTGGTTAAGGTCGGTTGTCATCTTAAACAATACCTTATCCTTCGGCTCTTAGTTTAAGCTTATCTTTAAAAGCAATTTTATTGCGCTTTTAAAGCTTGAACATTGTATATATGACACAAATGATTTTTCAATACATATGTATTATATTTTCAGACTTTGAGAGAGAAATACTCATGTTGTATAATTTGTTGAAGGGAAAGCTTGCAAGGTTTGACCAGCTGATGTGTAGTGGTGTGAATGTGTTTATGTCCTTGTTTTAGAGGGCAATGAGCATAAACATGACAGGAGTACATAGAAAGTTGCGAGGTGATATTTGTACATCTTTTGCTACTGCCAGGAGTATATAATCATAGTGCACTGAATTAATACATACGTACATGCGTATATATGCATGAGCATAATATACATCTATTATCTATTAGTGGTGGTCGATTTTTTCTATTCAAAAGGCTTTTTAATGGCTGCATCGATCGACATGTGGTTTTCGCCAAAAGATTCTTTAAAATATTCACCAGACCATGACGCCTTTCTTTTTTTCTGTTTTGAGACAGTTATGCTGCAAATAAGCAAAATTTCTTTATTTCGCCGATCGCTTTTGTAGGCCGACGCTTCTGTCTCTGTAATTTTAGAAAATCCTTCAGGTTTGTTTGTTTCAAGTCGTACTTCCTTTCGATACTATCGCGCATTGTCACGTAATACTGGGCACTATTTTAA